AAATAATAATACAAATAATGAAACAAAATGAAAAGATAAGACATAAATTCTAAAAAGAAAAAGATAAGAATAAAAATTAATGAAATCCGCTGATGAATCATTTCTAAAGCATTTCTGAACCGTTGTTGAACCATTTGTGAACTGTTATTGATTTTGGGATTAATTACTCATTGATGATCTTAAAATATTGCTAAAACGTTGCAAGAATATTGCAAAAATGTTATTAAATCGTGATTGAATCCATAGCTGATACACCAATTATATTATTCGAGATCACATGTTGTCCAAAGATCAATTGATTGGTCGCATTTTCCAAGTTCAAAAAATTATAAAATTAAAGAAATTTATGTTACTATAGTAATACTATAGTAAATGTAATAATTATACTTCTGCTATCTAAAATGCTATCTTTTTAATATTTAGTAAAGAGAAGTTAGTAAGAGTTAATAATAACATATCTATCATTCATCTTGCTAAATAGAAGAGAAGTAAAAAAACTTAAATCATATATAAAAATCTCTTTTATAATAATAAATTACTTATAAATATTAGTTATGTAATATTTAAGAAATATAAAGAGAAAGTATTGTTAATAATATACTATACATTTATTCTAACTATCTGTAATATTCTTCTTAATCCATCAAGTTCAGAAATTAAATGCAAAGATAGATTGATAACAAAATATATATATATATTTATGATAAGTAATACTTTGAATTTGCTTAAAGTTTATATTAAAAATTATTTATATAATAGATATTTAGTAAATTATAAAAAATAATAACAAAAATAATAAAAAAAATTGAAAAGATAAAGCAAGTGATAAAAAAAAATACTAAAAGTTATGAGTTAAAAATATAATTAAAGAAGAAGATAATAATAAGAAAGATAATAATTATGACAATTTTATAAATTTCTTTAATACTCTTTATAATTTATTTCTTTAAAGTCTTTAAAAAAATTAATTTTTTATTTAAAAGATCATTAACTTGAATTACAAATTTATATAATATAATTTTCTTTAAATTTATATTTTATTATTATATATATATACTTTATAATAAAATAAATATCTTTACTATTATTTAACCTATAAATTTTACTATTACTTAAATTACTATTACTATTATTACTTGAAATTAATATTATTACTTGAAATTAATATTGTGAAGTTTTGTGTAAAATTTTAAAAAAAAATTAAAAAATCTATATAAATCTATATTTTATTATAAATTTGTATAGATTTTTTAATTTTTTTCTTTATTAATTATTATCAGATTTGAAGTTTTACGCAAATTTTTTGATCTAAAGATCTATGCAAAACTATACTCTTAAAAATTTTCTGATGTTAGTTGAATTTATATATATTAATAAATTTTTTTTGATATTATTTACAAATTTATTTTTAATATTATAAAGAAAATAATATATAAATAAAAGTTATTTTTTTACTTATATTTATATTTTTTATTTTTTAATTATAAATTAGATAAAAGATAACTTATCAAAAAAATTTTAATTACATATTTTTTTTTCATAACTATCTAAAATTTATTAAATAAATATAATATCAGTTTTTTTTATTTTTATAATAATATAAAATTCTTGTTAACATCTCTATTATATTAAAAAAAATAAATTATTAGTATTCTTAAATTTATTATAATTAATATTTTCAACTTTATTATTATTAGTTTCTAATTATTTCAAATAACTAGTATTTTTAGCTTCAATCTTTTTAATTTCAGATTATTTAATACTATTTTGAGCATATTACTAAAATATAACTGAGTTTCTTATTATAATATTATTATAACAATTTAAATAAATGATATCTTCTAGTTAAATATAATTTGGTAAAGTATTATTATTAGCTTGACTCTTAGAAATAATATATTTGATTATTATTTTCTTGTTAATTAACTTTTTTACATATAATAATTAAATATAACTTTGTAGTAAATATTTTTTACTTTTAAGTATATTAGTTTTGAGATCTTTTTGAGATTCTTTTGTATACAGAATATTAACACTCTTGCAAAGTGAATGATAATCAAAGTTTGTATTTTTTTTTTAGTGAAATGTTATATTCTTAAAAAGTACTGATTTGTATCAGCCAATCATATGAATGTCTTATCATCATATCACATTTCTCGTTACACAATATAAATTGTATTATAAAATGACACGTAACCGATATCATGGATGCTGATAAATATCGCGCTCCTGTAGACTCTCCCGTTTCTCATTACTTTAAGACATTTCCTCTTAGGAGTTGGTCTCACCATCATTTCTTTAAGTATACAGATACTCTAGATTTGGAACAAGTGACCCGTCTCTGGTACGATAATATCACCACTATAAGATTCCTCCCCGGTTCATTGGTCGACGAGAAGCTGTTTACTTCAATTGTCAGGAGGAAAATGGCAAATGTATTTGATGTTAATGAAAAGAAACGTAAACACGCTGAAGATGAAGTGCATACTAATTCTGTAAGTCTCATGTATACGCGTTCAATACTACCGATATTCGAGAGGAAATATTGTTTTGCTGATCGTTTTTGTTTTCCCTGTTTAGGTCAGGACGTCTGCAGAACTTCTGAAAGATACCTTTGAGCACCATAGAAAATATACAAAACGAATGCTAGGCATACCTGTGACCCCATCAAACGTGACTCCAACAGTTACTCCTGTTGTAAATAGACCTAATGAAACTTTAATCCTGGTATGTACATACAGTATATACATTTTAGTCTGTACTGCACACTTTGCAGGTTTTGCAAGTTTTGTAACGAAATCTACGATTAGGGATTGAAGACTGAACCAGACACGGAAAACATTGAATTTGATCAGTATATAGATGACGAAAATTTTATTCAAGAGAAACTTTCGTTGAATAATTCGTATATGCTTGAAACCAACGTTGATGATACTCATGTAAGTTTTCCTTTTCCTTTTCTATCAATCAATCAATCAACCTTTGTTAATAAATTGTGTTTGCTTTTACAGTATATGTTCCAAGAGAAAAATATTTCCACACTATTTACTTCGTATCAGTCTGAAGCATTACGAATGGGACAAACATCGGGTTTGTCGGTTGTAACAAATTATCATGAAATTTTGTAAGCATGAACTTCGAAACTCGTCTCTTTATGTAGATTATCAGCCACTAACAAATATTTGTTGAAAACATTAGGAGTTTGTCCAGTATTTTATTGCTGCAAGCAAACAAATTTTCAGACTTGCAAGTCAAAAAATTCTCCAGGAATACTCTGACAAGTTTGCGGAAAAACATGTGTGATATACATACGTCTAAAGTCAAGGTCACATCAACTATAAAGTCTATATTTC